GGTTTAATCTGACAGAATATTTAGAATATTTCCCTAGCTAATCTAATAATTATTGATTAATTCTTTTTGTGAATAAATGTGCTAAATTTAAAACGCATATTTTTTTTCCATGGTTTTATTCAGACTTCTCCAGTTAGCCTACCTCAACATGGAATTCTCACCATGCTTTGCTATATTCTTCAAGGAATTTACTATCGTTGCAATAGCTAAAACTACGAATTTAGCTTGTCATTTTTAGTTCTGGTAAAAAGGTACACCATTTTCCAGTATATAGGCAAAGGCAAACATTCAAAGTTAAAAGTATTTTTAAAATTTAATTAAGACTATTTATAATTTTATCCCTGACTACGAAAATTACTCATAACATATTTTTATGATACCTTTTTTTATAAAGTGTAACTTATTATTCATTTCTTATCTCCTGTTAAATGATATTTGTATTTGGATTAAATTTTTTTTTTATATTTAACCTTCATCAATTTTAAGGTGCGAAATTCACCTTTTTAGACATATGTACATGAAATAAGCTTATGGCAGTCTTTGGATATATGACAAACAAATATTAATTATTAATACAATAAACTTTTATGATATTATCAACGGTATCAGCAAAGAAGAGAAAACAAAATTTTGAAATAGTTATTTTGTTTTTATACCCTTGCAGAGGGTATTATAATTTTGGTCAAAAGTGTGCAACGCAGTGAAGGAGAAATCTCCGACCCTATAAAGTATATATATTCTTGATCAGGATCACCTCCTGAGTTGATATAGCCATGTCCGTCTGTCCGTCTGTCCGTCTGTCCGTCTGTCTGTCCGTCTGTCTGTCCGTCTGTCTGTCCGTCTGTCTGTCCGTCTGTCTGTCCGTCTGTCTGTCCGTCTGTCTGTCCGTCTGTCTGTCCGTCTGTCTGTTTCTACGCGAACTAGTCTCTCAGTTTTAAAGATATCGAATTGAAACTTTGCACACACCCTTATTTCCTTTGCACGCAGTATATAAGTTTGAACGGCCGGGATCGGCCGACTATATCCTATAGCTGCCATATAACTGATTGATCGGAAATGCCATAACTTTGGTGTTTGTAAAGTTAGAAAGTTGGGATTTTCTATGGGTTTTATATTTGGCCAATCAATCCGACCTACCAAATTTCATAAGGATCGGCCGATTATATCCTATAGCTGCCATATAACTGAACGATTGGAAATGCCATAACTTTGGTGTTTTTAAAGTTAGAAAGTTGGGATTTTTTAAGAGTATTAAGAATGCATCATATGAATAATTTTGGAGAATATAATTTACAAAATATTCAGCAAGGGTATATCAACTTCGGCTCCGCCCGAAGTTAGCTTTCCTTTCTTGTTATTTTTAATGCTTTATAGTGTTTTGGTGACAAAAATATATATTCAGTGATTTTGAATTAACCAAATATAATTACCTTCAAAGAATGTGTTTTGACAGCACTCCTTACATTTATTAGCAACATGTGCAAAAACAAATTTATTGTTTAAAGACCTCCATATTGAGTACACAGAAGCCTTAGTAAAAGCATCTACAAACCGGACAATGTCTTCGTCAAATACAACAAACGTCTAATCACAAAAAAAGAGTTATTTAAAAATGTACCAACAGAAAGTAAGTTAAAATGTTACCTCACAGTGCGTAACCTCAATAGATATAGTAATCTTGAGCAAGAGGTCATCAAACGGCAATTCCTTCTCTTGTAGCACTTTTTTCCTTAATCCTGTATCAACCACATCTTGACCTTGTTTTTCTTTTAATGATTTAGTATTTATTCCCACAAAACTGGTATAATCAGCGCTTTGTAGCAGTTGAAACTCAAACTTATCGTTCCAAAATATGCAGATAGTAGTTTCGTTTAAATATGTTCCTACTGTTTAAGAATTGTACATATTAAGGGGTTTATATATTCAAAATCATATTTGCATATTTACTAATTGCACTTAAGACAAGTGACCAACTCTGGTCGATAAGCATTTTGACTTTGCACTGGCAAGCCTTGTATTGAAACAACGATTTTCATTTGCAAAGAACCGCACCAAATAGTGGCAATGAATTTCTAAAAAGTTTCTTGACTTTGAGTTTATTTGTTAATCAATTAGATAATTGAATAATTGGCTTGCATGTTATGTCTAACAAATTATTTGAGTTTATTTGCAGTACAAATTATATGGTATTTTCCATAGCCCAAGAAAACGACATTCGTATGATTAGAGGAACTAAACGAAAACGTACTACGTTGTTATTTAATACTTTCGAAATAAAAAAAAGTTAGGCCTTCTGAAATTCTTGTAACTTTATTGACAGAACTGACATATGTGCTGCAATTAATGAAAATAGTAAAGAATTTTGATTTATTCCACACTACCAGAAATTACCCAGAAATGCAAGAAAATAATTTTCTCTTAGTTACAAAAAAATTGCATCTTTCCAGGAAGCGCACATTTCCGATTCTATAAGGTAACTACATATATTCTTGATCAGTTTCACCAGCCAGTTGATCTAGCCATGTAAAATAATTGTATAGAATATTTATATTCTCCGAAATATGGTATTTTTAGCAACTTTAGAAATAAAAACTATCGGGAATAAGGTAATTAAAATGATGATTTTCTTTTTTCTGAACATTTATCCATAAACTCCAAGATATAGAAATTTTAAAAGATTTCAGAGTAAGTTTTACTTTTGTAAAAAATCGACGACTACATCAAATCGCTTTCATAAGAAATATCAAAAAATTAATCGGAAAATCAGCATAGGTTTATTTTTTTTAAGAATCAAAATAAAAAAAAAAAAGAATATTTCTTGTTTTAAAATTTATATATTTTTAATAATTAAATTATTAGATTAATGTTTCTTAAATGCGCGTTGCATTAGTGTTGTTTTGCAATGAATGCTGAATCCCCTCTGACGCCCACTAGCCACAAGCTGTGGCCACAGTTTTGATGCTATTATGAAAATTTTAATTGATATGAATTCGTTTCGTCAATACCTATCGATTGGCCTAATAAAAGTTTGCCACGTCCACTCTAACGCCCAAAAACCCATTAAACGCTTAAGCCTGGCTAGCGCCTACATTTCCGCCTTTCATGGCGCCATCTAACGGATGACTTTGGAACAGCTGGCCAAGGTGCTCAACAGAGTCAACGTTAATTCTCGATAAGGTTTTCTATTAAAGGAAATTGCGATGGTTTTCATTTGTCAATACCGAACTATATCCCAAGAACTATGCAAATCAAATCTAGTTAGCCAAATTGGAGGTCTGAGTCAAACAATGGCGTATGTGTATGTATGTAAGCATATACATATATGTATGTATTTACATTGTACACAGTTGCAATTGCCCGGCAAAGATAACTCCTTTCAAAGAAAGCTATTCGCTATACCTGTTACTCGTGTTGTGCAAACATTTAGACTTTAATATACGTAATACTATTTAAGAGTGTATGTGTTTAGCCAATATAAGTATGTATGTTTAATATTTCTAGTCAATTTATTGCACTCAAAAACATAAACATAAACACAGCTGCTGGTGCAGGACAACAGCTGCCTGCGCTAAAGCAGCGCTGGTGCTGATGCTCGTGCTGTTAAGCTGCCAGTACTAAGAGATCGCCGAATTCAAATTGATAATTTGAACTTTTTGTCCTTTTTTCCTGTGGTCACTCTAATTCACATTATGTTAATGCAAAATCTAAATCATTTGAAATGGGGCGCGCATTTTGTCTCTTTTTGCTCCTATTCGTTTCTCACAAGTGCATTCACCTGCGCTAGAGAGAGACGGAAGATGTGCTAGGCAGAAAGCAAAGTTCTAGAAGGCACGGTTCGCTGTTAGCAAAAGGGCGGGAAACCGTGCAAGTAAATTGGCGGTTATGAACTTTGCAGAGCTGCAAACTATTCTGCTCTCGCTTTAGTCTACGACTAACCATCGTATGTGATCTCTCTTCTCGTCTGCGATTGCGATTTTTGTCAGTTTTGCCTATCTTAAAACAAATCTCCCTTAACGTAAACTATCCATTTTTACTTGCATTTTTGTAAACTCATTAAACTAATTTTTCTGTGCTTAAAACTAACGTAAATTTTGTAAACAAATTGTTACGCGGTCGCGAGTGGTTGCTGCCTCTGCCGATTTGCTGCCGACGTCGCTGCCGTTGTTTGCTTTAACGTAGATTTTTGTTAATCTAAACTACTATATAAAAGTCTTCGAATAAAAAATGGGTCAGTGGTAAATTCCTACCAGAGCGGATTGACATAAAAATCTAGAAAAATCCGCATAATTCTGAAATAATTAGGAGACGTGTGTGAGGTACAAATTAAAACAATAAACGACCCCAAAGTGCCCCAAAATTCGATTCGTTTTTTTTTAAATTCTTTCTTTTGCCATTTTTCTGTTATAAATGTTGTTAAAATGGTTTAAAAAAATTATGATCATAATCTTATGGCATAGCCGCAACTAACTGCATTTAAATTTTTTGGAAATTCAGCCTCCTTAACCAAGTCCCCAATATTTTCCAATTCTCTTATGCGTGACGTCACGGCCTCCACATATGTTTGTATGTATGTTCTGCTGGCGCACTTTGCATTAAGTCGTAAATGAGTGTATGTAGCATTTTAAGTGTGACCGCGCAGGGGAAAAAATGAAAATACCAGTCACAAAAAATTTAAAATGCGCGGTTAAAAAATCGATTATATCGCAAATCTTTTCATTTGTTTTCAAATGTTGAGTTATCTACAAACTTTGGATTTGTAAAAACAAAAATAAATAATGATTCGCTCTGCTATGTACACACACACGCACGAAATATGTATATCCAAAAAATCAAGATAATACTGATATCCTTTTGCTAAAAGAATATTTAATTTACATTTCCACAACAGATTTAAGACATTTTGTAACCGATTTTTGTCATTTAAAATTCAAATCGCATTGATAATATTAAAAGAACATTAAATATTCAAACCAATTGATTCTCACGCTCTTTATTACACGTGCCTCATATTGTTTAAACAAATGCAAATGTTTAAACAATTTGATTCACGGCGTCCCCCACCTGTCTTTATTATTAATATAATCTTTTTCTTTTGCATACTTCTTTACGTCCCATTAAATGACCGTTTGCTGTAATTAATTCAAGTGAAACATAACCTGTTGGTCGTGTACAAATACTTCATTATTTGCCAATTGTTTTTTTTTTTTATGTGTGGAAAGAAGGTGTGTAAAGAGGGGTTGGGGGCCCAAAAACGCCAAAACTGTAATTAGGTGATAGATGGACAGCCTCTTAAAATTGTTAACCAAGATAAAAATAAAGGAAATTGTATTATTGGGGACGCATTTAACTTTTCCTTTGGCATATTTCTTAATTTTTCTTACATAAATATTTGCTTTCCTAAGGGAGGAAGTTAAGAGAAATATAGTGTGTAGTAATATGCTTTGCAAAACATATTTCTTTACTTTGTCTGCAAATTTGTTTCAGAGTTTTCTCTTGGCAATTAGTTATCGTTGAGTTCTCTTGATGATAAGAAGAAAACGTGTTGTAATCAATTTTAATACATTAAAACAAGTTAAATTGTGATTACGCAAATTTTTGTTTAAACTTTATTTACGTTAACCATTTTGTGGTAAGTCAGAATCTTTCCTAATTAAAATTAAGTTGATATTTGGTTGCCAAGGCGGAGAGTGTGTAACAATACTCTTAACACTGAAAATAATTTCAGTGGTGCCATTCAACTATTTATTAAAGCTATATAAAAATAAGTTGTTTAACCGATTAGACCTTGAGTTTAGAAAATAACTCTATAGCTAACCCTATAGCTTTAATGGTCAAAATAACAAACTTTTGTTTGTTGGATTGTGAAAATAAGCGTTAACATTTTGAAAAAAATAATTTTCAAAACTGTTGCTTTACGCATTCTATCTGTAATCGGCAGATTATTTTTAAACTTAAAATTTCCTAATATTTTAAAATCTAAATAGCTTTAATTTGGTTAGCTTTTTGGTTGCCAAGGCGAAGTTTGTATAACACACTCTGTAATCTCAAAATAATTTGAGTAACGTCTATTAAACCTATTACAAAAGCTAAACAACAAAAAGTTATATTAAACCGGTTAGACCTTGAGTTTAGAAAATAACTCTATAGCTGCTTCTATAGCTTTAATGGTCAAAATTACAAACTTTTGTTTGTTAGATTGTAATTTAAGCGTTATACATTTTGAAAAATATAATTTTCAAAACTGTTGCCTTAAACAATCTATCTGTAATCGGCAGACTTCTTAAAAACTTGAAATTTATTAAAATTTCAAAATTAAGTTACATTTAGTTTTGCATGAAAATTATTTAAATAACATATGATACGCATGTAACTTTTTAGTCTTAACTAACTGAATTAATATCTTTATATCTGCAAATCTTTGTTGTGCAGTGTGAAATTATTTTGCAATATATTTTGCAATATATAAACATCAATATTACTATTGCAAAAACTTATATATTTAAAAAGTTAGATAAATAACTATTTAAATTACAAGTATATTTTAATAGCATTTTGAAATATTGATTTTTTCTAGATTTACTGCTTACAATGGAAGTAGAGTATTTAAATATAGATGGTGCTCCGGTACCTCACTCTGTTATACCTATAACAGGTGATGGAGCTTGCTTATTCCGGGCTGTGTCCTACGTTTTGTTTGACAATGAAAGTTATGCTCAAGTCATTCGAAAATCAATAGTTCGATTAATAGTTTCCCAATTTAGTTCATTTGTTGATGACACATGTAATTTTAACGGAGATAATTATGCCAATCCTGTGGATTATGAAAATGACATGATTAAACCGCACACGTTTGGTTCGTATGCTGAACTAAAAGCTGCTGCTAAATTGTACCCTATTTATATTGAAGTTTACTTTAATCAAACGCTCATTGCAGTTGCTGGTACAGAGGGCAGTACCATAAAAAGATTTCGTTTCAGTGGAAGCTTATCTGGTGGACATTATGATGTCTACAAGCCTATTGAAACCTTTAATGATAGAAGCTCTCCCACTCAAAATATATTAGAAGTTCCTTCTATGAAAAAAAAGAACATTCAAAGAAGAGGTCAACTTACTGATTTTTCTCGAAAAAAACAGAAAAAGATTGAAAATAAGAACTATCATGTTAGGCATCGTGAGGAAATTCAAACTGCAAAAAAAAACACAACAAAAGAATACAAAGAGTGCACATTCGTGGAAAGTAAAACATAATTCCGCTTTTTTATACGATTTAAATCTGGCATACAATTCTGATAAATCAGTTGATATTGGAATAATGAATAAGAGATGCTCATTTTGTGGCGCCTTAAAATGGAAGGAAGAGTCAAAAGGTATGTGTTGCAAAGAGGGAAAAGTCCAGCTTCCATCTCTTAAAACATTACCAGATCCTCTTTTAAGTCTTTTAAATGGTGATCACCCAGACCATACACATTTTATGGGGCTTACCAGAAAATATAATAATTGTTTTCAAATGACTTCATTTGGTGCGACAAAAGTTTTTAATGAAGGTTATATGCCCACATTTAAAGTACAGGGGCAAGTTTACCACTTAGTTGGTAGCGTTTTGCCAGCTTCTAAAGAAGAAGCTCAGTTTCTCCAAATTTATTTTATTGGTGAGGACAATGTAGAAGCCGATTTCAGGTGTAAAAACAGTCCTGGAGTTAAAAATGCGTTAGTTAAATCACTACAGTTGATGCTGCATGAAAGTAATCCATATGTTAAGGATTTTAAAACTGCTCTTAAAAGAGTTTCGAAGAATTGTAGCCAATTTAAAATGGTTATTCACGCCAATAAAAAGCCTGTTAGGGCTCATAGAGGTCGTTATAACGCACCCCAAGCAAATGAGGTCGCTTTGGTATTAGTTGACCAACAATTTGAAAAAAGGGACATTATTATTGAGGGTTATAATAATCAGTTAAAAAGAATCAGTGAACTTCACCGATCTTATGACGCCCTACAATATCCATTAATGTTTTGTCATGGAGAAGATGGTTACACTATAGATATACCCAAAATTGACCCCGTTTCAAAAAAAAACGTTAAGAAAACAGTCTCAGCGTTAGATTTTTACAGTTTCCGAATAATGCTTAGAGAAAATGTATGGAATCACCTGCACTATTTTAGAGCTCTCTTTAGTCAATTTTTGGTTGATATGTATGCTAAAATAGAAACAGAAAGGCTTAATTTTATTCGGCTAAATCAAAAAAAGCTGAGAGCAGAAAGCTACATACATCTTCAAGATGCTATAGGTAGGAATGATGTAGATTTAGCACAGTTTGGACAGATGGTAATTTTACCTTCATCCTTTACTGGCTCGCCACGGTACATGCACGAAAAAACTCAAGATGCCATGACATATGTTCGTTATTATGGGCGTCCTGATCTTTTTATTACATTTACCTGTAATCCTAAATGGAAAGAAATTAAAAGTGCACTATTTTTAGGGCAGAAGCCTCACGATCGGCATGATATCATTGCTCGAGTCTTTCATTTAAAGGTCAAAGCTATAATGTCTTTAATTAATAGTCATAGTTTGTTTGGGGAAGTGCAATGCTTTATGTATACGATAGAGTGGCAGAAACGTGGTCTCCCACATGCACATATACTGATTTGGTTAAAGTCTAAGATCACGCCTCAACAAATTGATTCAATTATATGTGCAGAAATTCCAGATTCTGAAAAGGATCCTCTCCTATATGAGATTGTTAAGGCTAATATGATTCATGGACCATGTGGCCGCTTAAACCTAAAATCGCCCTGTATGAACGAGGGTAATTGTTCCAAAAAGTTTCCGCGATCGTTGCTTAATGAAACTGTTACTGGAAAAGATGGTTACCCTAAATATAGGCGAAGAGCACCTGAAGATGGTGGCTTCACCATGGAAATTAATGGAAACATAATTGACAATAGGTGGGTATGCCCTATAATTGTGTTCTCCTGCGGACCTTTGAGGCTCATATTAATGTAGAGCTCTGTAGTTCAATTAAATCCATTAAATACGTTTGCAAATACATCAATAAGGGCAGTGATCAAGCTACATTTACTGTGGAAAGCCCTACTAATGAGGTTCAACTATATCAAAGCGGTCGATATATCAGTAGTTCTGAAGCAGTGTGGAGAATTCTTGCATTCCCCATACATGAAAGGTATCCGGCAATTGTACATTTGGCCGTGCATTTGGAAAATGGTCAACGGATATATTTTGATCCTAATAATCAAAATCAATTAGTTAACCAGTTAACCAACGCTTCAATAACGACACTGACTGGGTTTTTCGAACTTTGTAAAACGGATTCATTTGCAAGGACCCTTCTTTATGTTGAAGTACCTTCCTATTTCACGTGGAACAATAAAAAGTTCCAAAGGAGAAAGAGAGGTAATATTGTACCTGGTTTTCCTGGAATTAGAATGGATGATGTTTTAGGTCGAGTGTATACCATACACCCTAAAAATAGTGAATGCTATTACCTAAGACTACTTCTTCATGAAGTGCGGGGACCAACCTCATTCTAATTTCTTAAAACAGTTAATAACATTACGTATGCTACATTTCAATTGGCATGTAAGGCTTTGGGCTTACTAGAAGATGACACACACTGGGAATATACCCTAAAGGAAGCAGCTTTATGTAAATCGCCAATTCAATTACGTGATTTATTTGCGGTGATGTTAGTAAATTGTCAAATGGCTGATGCCGCACATCTTTGGGAAATGTATAAAGAAAGCTTTTCAGAATACATTTTGTACGAGTTTTCTCTAATAGTGGCAGAAGTCAATCAAGATCTACTGGATAGAGTGTTTAATAAATGTCTTATTTTAATCGAAGATATAACACTGTCCATTGGAGGTACGTGTCTATTAGACTATGGTTTGCCCGAACCGATTAGAGTTAGTAGACCACTTCAAAATAGGGAATATTTAAACGAAATAAATTACAATATTAATGAATTCGAATTAAGTAAAGACGAAAATTCCCTTAACGATGAGCAAAGAATGGTATTTCAAAAATATTACAAAGTGTTCAAAATGAAAACGGTGAAATATTTTTTTGGATGCCCCCGGTGGCACAGGCAAGACATTTTTATTGAATTTGTTGTTAGCAAAATTACGACATAATAATAATGTAGCATTGGCTGTTGCACAGCCCACTCTGTGTTTAAACTCCCATTGGATTTAATAAATGTAGAAACACCATGTTGCTCAATATCTAAACGGTGTAATATGGCATTGGTTTTTCAAGAATGTAGCCTTATTGTTTGGGATGAATACACAATGGCTCATAAGAGTGCTTTTGAAGCGTTGGATAGAATGTTGAAAGATATTCGTGGTAATGATTTTCTAATGGGAGGTATGACGGTTTTATTATCTGGAGATTTTCGTCAAACGCTTCCTGTAGTTCCTCGAGGAACAAGGGCAGATGAAATACAAGCCTGCTTAAAATCATCATTTCTTTGGCCTACTATTCAAAAATTGTGCCTAACAAAAAACATGCGTGTGCATTTAAAAGGCGATACAACTGCTGGAATTTTTGCACATACATTATTGAGAATTGGAGACGGTCTTTTTCCAACTGTCGAAGGAAAAATAATTATTCCTTCAGGTTTAGGAACTGTTGTAACTTCCCTTGAGGAGCTCACATCAAATATATTTCCGGAAATTTCAAAAATCTCAACCAAATCATTAGATTGGTTTTCGGAGAGAGCAATATTAACTGCTAGAAATGATAGAGCTGTGGTAATAAATAACATACTGTTAAAATCATTTGATGGTATTGAAGTTACGTATAAGTCTATTGATTCAGTCACTGAAGTTGATGAAGCAGTTCATTTTCCGGTTGAATTTCTCAACCAACAAAATCCACCTGGACTTCCCTTACACATTCTAAAGCTTAAGATTGGTGCACCAATTATGCTGTTGAGAAATTTAAGACCTCCAAAACTATGTAACGGTACAAGATTGCAAGTAAAAGCTCTTCATAACAATTTAATCGAAGCTGTGGTTTTTACTGGCTGTGCCAAAGGAGAAATTGTTTTTATACCACGAATACCCCTAATACCATCAAATCTACCGTTTCAGTTTAAAAGACTTCAGTTCCCTGTAAAAGTTTGCTTTGCAATAACGATAAATAAATCGCAAGGTCAGACCTTAAAACTAGCTGGACTAGATTTAAGGGACGATTGCTTCTCTCATGGTCAGTTTTATGTGGCCTGTTCAAGAGTTAGCTCCTCTGAGTCTTTAATTATTTTAGCGCCAGAAGGAAAATCAAAAAATATCGTTTATAGAGAAGTCTTGCAAAAATGTTAAACATTTCTAATTAAAATGCACTGTGGAATAGGCCTCATGGGGAAACCACAAAAAAAAAAAAACGCGCCAAAACCTCTACCTCTATGGTGGTGTGGAAATGTGGAATGGTTTTAGTTTAAATAAAGTAGCAAATAAAAAGTTAATCAAAAGTATAGTTTTAAGCGATATAGTTAGGAAATTGCTAATCTTAATTTCCGCAGGCGAAGCTGCGGGCTACCTTGCTAGTAATAATATAAGATTAAGTCTTTTTCAAGACTTACTCTTAAATTATTATTATTCATATTTTTCACATTTGCAAATTTTTAACGTAATTTATTTGTTGCCGCTCTGCCCCTTTTAACGTAGATTTGTTAATAATAATATAAGATTAAGTCTTTTCAAGACTTACTCTTAAATTATTATTATTCATATTTTTCACATTGGCAAATTTTTAGCGTAATTCATTTTTTGCCGCTCTGCCCCTTTTAACGTAGATTTGTTAATAATAGTATAAGATTAAGTCTTTTTCAAGACTTGCTCTTAGATTATTATTATTCATATATTTAACTTTTGCAAATTATTAACGTAATTCATTTTCAATCGCTCTGCCCCTTTACCCGTATATAAATAAAAGAATTCAGCCTTTTTTAAGGCTTATTCTTATATTTCTATACATTTACGTATTTATCTTAGTAATAGTACTATAAGTCTAAGTCTTTTTAAGACTTACACTTATAATTCTATTATTTATTTCATTTATATTAACTATATTATATTATAAAATTTATATTATATAAATATAAGAATTTAGCTTTTTTAAAGCTTTATTCTTATATTTCTATTAATATACCTAATCAGCGTATCGGAGTAGCCATATAAATTTAAGATTTTAAAAAATGCCTCGTTTGAATAGACCCACTGCATCTCAGCGGGCTAGGAACCAATTGTTGAGAAATAGGGCCAATAGGGAAAACCAGAGTATGCAGAGATGGAGAGGGTAGAAAATTCTGAATCTCAGCGTAGGAGAAGGGAAAATGCAGTAGGAATTCAGAGCAGGGTGTAAATACAGCGTCTCGTAGGTCAAGATGCTTGAATCCGAACACTCGTGCGTTTGACCAGGAAGCAGATACTGCAAGACGTAGGGAAATTCGCTTGGATCCCGTTCTTCGTGCCGGAGAGCAAGCAGCCGACACTCGGCGTCGCTTTATTAGGCGAAGAAACACCGATGAAAGAGCTACAGAGCAGGTTGTTAATACCGCTGACCATCGGTTAAGGCGCTTGGATCCCGTTTTTCGTGCGGGTGAACAAGAAGCAGATGCTGAAAGACGTAGGGAAACTCGCTCGAACCCCGTTCTTCGTGCGGATGAACGAGCAGCCGATACTCGGCGTCGCGCTATAAGGCGACAAGTTAGAGAAGTCCGAGCTACCGAGCAAGTTGGTAATACCGCTGACCATCGGTTAAGGCGCTTGGATCCCGCTTTCCGTGCGAGTCAGCAGGCAGCCGATACTCGGCGTCGCGCTATAAGGCGACAAGTTAGAGAAGTCCGAGCTACCGAGCAAGTTGGTAATACCGCTGACCATCGGTTAATGCGCTTGGATCCCGTTCTGCGTGCGAGTCAGCAAGCAGCCGATACTCGGCGTCGCGCTTTAAGGCGATAAATTAGGCAAGTCCGAACTACAGAGCAGGTCCGAAATACTGCTGACCGTTCGGAAAGGCGCTTGGATCCTGATTTCCGTGCGGGTGAACAAGAAGCCGATGCTCGGCGGCGTTCTCTGAGGCGGTTGGATGCTACGTATCGTGCGGGTGAGCAAGAAGCAAATACCCTGCAACGAGCGCAGGCAAGATCAACTCAGGATCGCTTATTGCAAAGAGCGCAGGATAGGTTTAGGAGAGCTACGGCTAGGAGTTTTAGGGAACGTAGGGCCGTCGAGCAGGCGAGAAATACACTGGCTCGACGAAGTGCTCGTATAGCTGCTCGACAAGCAACTATCGATGCCATTCGAAATATTAGTCAGAGAGTTAGTCAGTATAGAAGTCTCAGTGGCAATAGGGATGCAGAAAACCTTCGGAACGCAAACCGAAGTCAGGAGATTCGACTTGATTTATCCCAGGGAAATAGGACTCCTAGAAATATACCTATTGGATTGGATGCTCACATAGCCAAATTCAATAGGTTAGTAAAACTTGGCCCCGATCAGATTTGCTTCTGCTGCAAGGGATTGTGGTTCCCCAAGCAAATACGTAAGCTTTCTAGAGCCTATTTGGAAGAAAATTGCGAGTTTAAGGAAGAGATTTACCAGAATGCAAGCCAGCTTGCTTTCACTGGAGAATCCATTAAGTTCTGTGGCATATGCCACTGCAATATAGAAGCCGGGAGAAAGCCCAAAGGTGCCATTTCCAACGGCCAAGACTTCCCAGAAATTTCTCATTCCTTGAGGGGGCTTACTCCATTGGAGCAGCGACTGATTTCACCTCGCCTTCCATTTATGATAATTAAGTCGATAGGTCATGAGCGTCAGAGTGTAATAAAAGGAGCTGTTGTAAATGTCCCCATTCCGGATAGCAACATCGTGACGTCCCTTCCACGAGCTTTCCACGAGGCAGAGGTTGTACAGCTCCACCTCAAGCGAAGAATGGAGTACGGACATGATTTCATGGCAGAGACCATTAGGCCTTCCAAAATTGCTGACGCTATCAGGTACTTAGTTAGTACAGAGCTTTACAGAAAGCACAATGTGTCAGTGAACGAGCAGTGGATCTCTGATTTCACATCCGAAACTGTTCCATTCGTAGCTTCTCAAGCGGACTTAGCCTTTGTAGAGGGACAACTAGCAATCCAGCAGGAGGATGTAAACTTGGAGGCGGGAAATTCCGAAGAGAAATAAGAAGCCGAAGAGCTAAATCCTGGAGGACAGGAAACTCTGCTTGAGAATAACCAGGCACACAATGTAGGAATTCCGAGAATCACAATGGCTCCAGGTGAGGGCCAAAAGCCTCTCGACGTGATTCTCGTTGTCGACTCCGAAGAATTGGCGTTCCCAAGCATTTATGCTGGCGTCAAGAGACCATCTTCGGAAAGTTATACAACCATAGTTAGATCAGAGCTTAGGAACGTAGATAGAAGAGGTTGTAGAACTGACAAGTTGTTCTTCAATTATAAGAAGTTGGAATTGTTGAAAATTCGAAACAATATTTCAACTTGCCTACGTAAGCGGAGCGCTTCTAGCGCGATAACTGCCGCCAACGTACTCGATGAAGCTTTCATGGGAAACTTAATTTCCCATGATGACGGATATCGAATTCTTAAGGACATTCGCACGTCTCCTGCTCACTGGGAAGATGAGAAGAAGAAAGTCATGGCTATGATTCGCCAATTTGGTTTGCCAACTTTCTTCATAACTCTGTCGGCCGCAGAAACTAGGTGGCCAGAGCTGCTAGTACTGCTCAAGCGCAATGTAGATAGGATTGACATTAGTGAGGAGGAAGATTTGAACTTACAGTTTAGAGAAAAGGCGCGGCTGATCAGAACTGACCCAGTGACGTGTGCTAGGTATTTCGATTATAGGTATAGGGAAGTTCTAAAGCTCATGAAGAAGCCGGGGGAGTCTTTGGAAGTAACTTTGTTACTACCTATTATTGGCGAGTTGAGTTTCAACAGAGGGGTTCCCCTCCCATTCACGGCTGTTTTGGCTGAAAGACGCC